GGAGTAAAAGTAGAATCTAAAGATAAACTTTCCAAATCCAGAAATACTTGAAGTGACTTTTTGGCCTTACCAGAGGCACTTTTGGTCCCTTTAGTGTCCGTTGTTTATGTTCTCCTTTTCTTTTGCTACTCCTGAAATTTAGACCTCCTCGGTCCCACTGAGTCAGTTCCAGCAAGGTGTGCCAAGAGTTCAGTGTCCGGGGTAGAGCTTGTGATGGAAGCGATGGGCTCAAAGGCGTATTTTGCAGCTGAGTGACACGAACAGTGTCTTTAAAAAGATATTTCTAGTTTAGCAAAGTTCTTCCCACCTCACAGGAATCAGCAAAAATTACTCTGCAGCTAGAAAATATTTACTTTTTAGCTGCTGTTTTCGGGTCAGTGCTGCTGGCAGCCATCTTGCTGAATTGAGCCTTAGCGCAGCAAGTAGCATTGCAAGAGGTAAGAGAGTGCAATTTCTGAGGAGATTCTTGTTTTTATGTGCCTACCTGTCTGAAACAGTGTTTGAGAAATTGGCACCTTGAGAATCATAGAATGGTTAGGGCTGGAAGGGACCTCAAAGATCATTTAGTTCCAACCCCCCTGCCATGGGCAGGGAAACCCTCCACTACACCAGGTTGCCCAAAGCCTCATCCAACCTGGCCTTGAACACCTCCAGGGATGGGGCAGCCACAACTTCTCTGGGCAAGCATTGCCAGTGCCTCACCACCCTCAGAGTGAAAAATTTCTTCCTTATATCTAATCTAAATCTCCCCTCTTTCAGTTTAAAGCCCTTGCCTCTGGAGCATGGGTGTGAACTCACTGCTCGGTTGTCATGAACTCTTCCAGTAAGTGGCTGCAGTCACCAGACCCCTCGCTCATTTGCTTCAATGGATTTCTTTTTTTTTTTTTTTTTAATACCTACCTGGGGAAATCAGTTTGGTCTGTAATCTGAATGTTCAGGGTGGTAAAGAAAGTGCTGACAGGTTTTATTTTGGAAATGAGTTCGTGAGGATATTGGTAAAAAGGCACACTAGCATACAGAAGGCATGATTGTTTTCACTTTCATTACTGCAGCCGGAGTCGTTCCGAGTCCGTGACTTTTTGCTATATTTTTAGCACAGATTTGCAGGAACAATGTATTTCCTTGGTTTAAGTGGAGCTTGGGAGGTTGGTAGTCGTTTTCAGGAGAATCACTGATGGGTAATTAGTCTCTACTCCTGCTCTTCATACCATCCACCATAGTGCATAGCCTCTGGGTGTTATCACGTGCCGAACATGGGGAGCTCTGAAACAGAGAAAAATGATGAAGTGATGTAACAAGTATCCCTCGCTCCTTTCCTGTGTCAAATGGGGCTGTTGAACTGCTTTACTGAGAGAGAAAAGGAGGCTGAGGATGGAAGAGGGAACACATTCTCATTGGTCTTTAGTGCTATTAGGTATTTGCTTCCATTTTATTGACGTCTTGTGCCTTATATGCAAGTTTGGCCATTAGCTGTGCTGGGGATTATGTTGTTACTTCTGGCCTCTCTCTCCCTGGTCAGGCTTGGTGCAGGGTTTGAATTCTGTTTTAATTCCAAAACAGCTCTACAGCTATGTTTTGTGTTCAGTTTATCTCTCTTTTGAGTCTGTGAAGGAAGGGAGTGAGAGGGAGAGTGTGTGAGGGAGCTGATAAAAGGGATGAGCAGCAGACACAATCTAGAGGACTTGCACGAGGCTCTCTCTGATGGGGAAACTCACTGGGTTAGCTTTCTGTCCTACCCTTCGCTGAAGTTTTTACCAACTTATAAGAAAGTTGGCAGGAGAGAGCCCCAGTCCATGCTTTCAGGCTTTCCTGCTTGCGGTTTTCAGTTCAGGCTATCCTTCCCTGATGCGTAGATGTTGAGGATTGTCTGAGCATGGTTGAGGTGCACGGACATATTTTGCTCCGTCATCTCACTTACAGCACAAGCAACTCCCAGGAGAGATGCAGGGAGGGCGAATGGTGATGATAATATTCTAAATTGCTCCTGGAGGATGGGCAACGCTTGTCTTTCCAAGTTCTTACCCTTGTCTGCAGGAGAAATAACATCGCCCTCTCTGTAGCTGACACATAATTTTGTAACACTTTTGTTTCTTTGTGTGCGGAACTGTCAGGTCGGATAACTGAAGCTGACCCCGGATGTTTAGGTGCCTGCACGCTATTTCCTGGTGACCTTTATTCCATTTTTAATGCCTCCAGGCTTTCCGATTGCTTTAAGTGCAGTAATGTACTGACAACATTGATCCAGCCCTTGCTTCTTACTGAGGAAACTGTTGTTTCTGTTTCCAGTACTAATTTTTTTTTCTTGCGTTCAACAGAACCAAGCGGACCTCTTGCTCTGCTCTTCAGCACTGCTGTGTCGTGGGAGGTGTCTGAACTTTCCAGATTTATGCAGCTCTTGATTTGTGGACAGTTTTGGTCCAAAAGCTTCCACTCGCTGCCCGTTTCCTCTTCCGTTTGTTTTTATTTTGTCTCCCAGGCTGTTTTTCAGGCTGCACAGCAGCCTCTGTATCCCGAGGGAGAGCCACTCAGTTTCAGGGACGGTTTATGTAGCCCAAGTCTGGCAGCGGTTTCTTGTCAAAAGGCCTTTGGATCCACTTCTCATGCGCAGAGGGGTATGAGTTACATTCACACTTTGAACAGGTTAAATGGGAGTATTGTTTCTTTCTAGTGTCCCTTAGCTCAAGTTTTAAAATCTACCTACCAAATTAATGTCCGGTGTCCAGCAGCTAATGCTGAGGCAGCATCCTTACAAGTGGGTTGTTGGTTTTATCCACTCCTTTTAACCAGAAGATCTTGTCTGACCTGACAGTGTATTGGTTCATTTTTCTTACTGTGCTCACAGTTCTTCTGGAAATCTCAGACTTTTTAGAACTCTGCCAAGACTACGTGTTAGGTTGAAAATGAAATTCATGAGCTGCTTCCAGGATGCATCCAGCAGCCTTTCTTATGTCTTTTGGGTTCAGAGAGTAGGTCTGTAATGTCTCACATGGTCGTTGAAAGAGCTGGATGTCGATGTCTTACCTCTTGCACTCTTAAATGAAGAAAGTTAAAACACAACTTTCCCTGTGCTGGCAGTCCAGGAAAAGACATGTTTCACAATCCTTTTGTTCACTTAGAATGATGTTGTCTCTTGTTTCCAGCGTGTTTCCTTTTGCTAGCAGGGCTTATGCAAAGCTTGAAAACCTCTGGGCAGCAAGCTGGCTGCCCTCATAGGCTTGCTTGGTATTTTTCCCCCTTTTAAGTGTCCGAGAAAGGAGCCAACACCGCACAGGCTGCCTTGGAAAAACCTCTGTGCCTGAGGGTCGGGGGCCCTGGGGTAACATCACGCTGTAGGTGTGTCACTCCTCTCTGATGGACTCTTAAAAATGCGGTGAGTGTGCCAAGCGATGCACCGAGGCTGCGGTCTGCATTTGTGCTGTGTGGCTGCTTGCTCTGCCACTTCCACTCAGGGTTTGATTTCTTCTGGTTAGTTTGTCCCTGAAAGAGCAAAATGGAGCCACAGTGTATGATTAACACTGTTGTCCACAGAGCTTCCTACTCTTTGCTGGTGCTTGCTGCTTGCTTAGGACAAAGGAAGACTGTATTTATCTGTCACAAGAAGGACATGGGACTGCTGGAGCGAGTCCAGAGGAGGGCCATGAAGATGATCCGAGGGCTGGAGCACCTCTGCTATGAAGACAGGCTGAGAGAGTTGGGGCTGTTCAGCCTGGAGAAGAGAAGGCTCCGCAGTGACCTTATTGCAGCCTTCCAGTACCTAAAGGGGGCCTACAGGAAAGCTGGAGGGGAGCTTTTTACAAGGGCGTGTAGTGATAGGACAAGGGGAAATGGCTTTAAACTGAAGGAGGGAGATTTAGATTAGATATAAGGAAGAAATTTTTCACTCTGAGGGTGGTGAGGCACTGGCACTGCTTGCCCAGAGAAGTTGTAGATGCCCCATCCCTGGAAGTGTTCAAGGCCAGGTTGGATGAGGCTTTGGGCAACCTGGTGTAGTGGAGGGTTTCCCTGCCCATGGCAGGGGGGTTGGAACTAGATGATCTTTGAGGTTCCTTCCAGCCCAAACCATTCTATGATTTTCTTTGTCAGAATCAAACCCAACTGCACAAAGGCTTCTGGTCAGACCTTAGACACTGGCACATCTGGACTACTTGGAGAAAGTAGTCAGGTGCCCACCAAGGGAGGTTACAACAGTCTGCCCCTGTTGCAGCTGGCTAGTGTGCAATTTTCAAGAGCTCCTTTGAAATAAATTGGTTCAAATTCATATTTTTTTCATTCAGTGAATTATTTGCTGTATTAGTTTTTGAAGGACATGGCTTAATCTGCCTTTCTTCTCTTTCTTTACTGTTTGATTTTCTCCATTTTGCCAAGGTGAATGAATTATCTGTCATGTTTCTTGTGGCGTAGTGGGCTGGAGCTGCAGTAACTCCTGTGAAGGTATTGTGGAAGGTGCCTATGTCCTAAAAAGGTGCTTGTAGCCTAAAAAGAAAACCTAATTTTTAATGAGCACTTGAATATTTCTACTGGCTTGCTGGGTTTAACTAATAGGCCTCGACAGGCAAAACTCTTACAGCTCTTCCTGTCGGGGGAGCTGCAGCATTGTCCTTTAATTCCCCTATTTATCTGGGATTTGACACCAAATAGACTTGAACTTTTGCTTCGGTGGCAGCGGTTACATGTGATTTCAGATGAGTCTGACTAATTCTTTTAGGGAAAACATCTTACAGTCAGCAACATCTCACAGACCACTTCTTTTCACAGATAGCTTCATAGCTGTTTCCATTTGAGGCGAGTAAAGTAGTTGTGTTTATTGAAGAAAACATTGTGCTTTGAACTCCTGCAGCTGGTGCCTGGGGGAAATGTTCTTCTTTCTCTTACAAACAAGTATAGTTTCTAAAAGACAAGATGACACAGAAACTTGTAGAAAATGGAGAGGAAAAGAGGGGGTGGCCGGAAAGGGGGAGAGCAGTATCACTCAGACTCATAACTTCTGTCTCCTTCACTAGTTCTAAAGCGGAAGACTTGTCGACTGCTATTCTGAAGCAGAAGAACAGGCCCAATCGGTTAATTGTGGATGAAGCCATCAATGAAGACAACAGTGTTGTGTCACTGTCCCAGGTGCGTCATTTGTAAAAGCGAAGCGTTTAATCTGGTGGTTTGCAAGCTGTTGGTGTGTCGTAACTTGATATGTACCTTTGCAACGTGCATCTGAGTATTTGTGTCGGAAGCTGTAGTGGTTGGGAGGGAGGGTAGTTTTGTTTCCTAGCACCCTTCTGTGATGAAATGTGTTTTGATTCTCAATTTGTAGGATTCAGTTGAGCTTGTGCCCTTAGTCTGGCGTCAGGATTAGCTCTTGACTGTCGTTGTGGATTTAGTATATCGCTTCCAAGATGTAACTCTCCTTCAAATGCTTGAATTCTCATTTTGTCAAAAGCTTGTTTTAATGCTGTTACTGTTGACAGGCAAAAATGGATGAATTGCAGCTGTTCAGAGGAGACACTGTCCTGCTCAAAGGAAAGAAGAGGAGAGAAGCTGTCTGCATTGTTCTGTCAGATGACACCTGCTCAGACGAGAAGATTCGCATGAACAGGGTTGTTCGCAACAACCTGAGGGTGCGCCTGGGCGATGTGATCAGGTCAGGACTCGTTTGCTAGCCGTCCTGTATCCCCAGGTTGCCTAAGTAATTCGTGTGCTGCCTCTGAATGGATTGAGTCAGTCGCAGAGGCAGGGTCTGCAGGAAGTACTCTTACATCACAGAGATGTTTTCAAGATCAGGGATCTCAGCTTATTTTTGTGTGCGTTTCTGGCTGCATGTGTATTCAGATTAATACTAAAAAAGTTATGCTAAAGATTCTTGAAGTCACTTCAGGACCTCCACGAGCCAAGGTCCTGTCATTAAATTGAGTGGTTCATTTATCCCACTGTTGTCACAGTTATATTCTCCAATTTACATTCTCAGGTGAACTCGCAGATTTTTCTTGTCTGAATTTTTACTGTGCACAGTGTTAACTGTGGAAGGCATTAAGCAGCACTGTAATTGATCTCGGAGTATCTGAGCTGCCCTATGGCAAACGGAAGTCAGAACTCGCTAGAAATGAGTGACAAAACCAGGAAGCAGTCAAGTAGCAAGATTAAAAATCCCCGAAGGATGTTTGTATTTCAGTTTTTGTTATAAAAATAATTTTAAAACTAGGAATGCTTAAAATGTATTGCGGGGTGTCCTGGTTTTGACTAGGACAGAGTTCGTTTTTCTTCTTAGTGGCTAGAATAGTGCTGTGCTTTGGATTTAGTGTGGGATTTGGCATGACAAGAATGTTGATAATATGCTGATACCTTTGGTGTGTGATAAGGAAATCCAGGATTTTTCAGCTTCCCATGTTTACCAATGTGCAGGTGCACAACAAGCTGGGAGTGAGCATAGCTGGAGCAACAGACCCACAACTCCTAGCTTACGATTTGATTTTAGGCTTAGGATTGGGGCCCAGATTGGCCATCAAAATGTTCCCTATCATGCAATGTAGTGCTCAGTGTATAGATGAGGGTTGGCTGGGAAGCTGTCTTCTCTTGAGGTCTCTCTTTGGGACTGTCTCTCTCTTCTGGGATTGCAGTTTCAGGATCCCTCTTCTTTGGGATCACTAGCCTGGGCCAAGCTGGGCATTGGTCAGCGGGTGGTGCATCACTCATTTGTGTATATTACTGTAATTTTAATTATTATTTTTATCATTATTACTTTTAATTTTATTTCAATTATTAAATTGTTCTTATGTTAACCCACGAGTCTCCTTCCCTTTTCCCATTTAATTCTCTTCCTCATCTCCCAGGGGTGAAGGAGGGAGAGTGAGTGATTGCATGGTGTTTGGTAGCTGACCACGTTAAACCGCACCCAGGTTCTGGGAAAAATGGATCCAAGTTTCTGACACTAGACTTCCTGGAGTGGTATCTGGCAAAATCTTTAAACGCAAACTTTGCAGAGGAGAAGAATGAGGCTGTTTCACCCATCCCTCTACCACTAGAAAATGTAACTTTTAAACACCACGGTGGTTGGAACAGAACAGTGTCTTGAGCCAGGCTGTGGATTTAAAATAAAAGTGAATACTTACCTTAACCTGATGTGAGGTTACTGTTGGAGTAGTTTCCAGTGTGACAGTTCAGCCTGTGCTCTCCCCTGCTCTGCTGGGACTGTGTCCATAGTGGTCCTCAGCCTTCCAAGCACGTTATCGATTGTCCTAGCTTTGTTGTGAGGGTCAGAGAGTTTTCACGCTTCTTGCCCTTGGAGTTTTTCTTGCTGACCTTTAACTACTTATTGTGTTATTTTCTGTGGCCTGGTTTCTGCCAAAATCCAGATTCAGGTGCTAATTGCTTCCTGCTTGTGGTCTGTCAGCTGTTTTCCTTCTGAGGCAGTCTGTCTTTTCCTTTACCCTTTCCGATGTATCCTCTCCGTAAAGCATGTGGTGAAAGAATCTGTTAGAAGTCTTGAGCAAAGCCACGTATGGAAAGTTGCACATTCAGCTGCAGTTCCACGTGGGCTTTTCTTCGCTGGCAAAGCTGGTTGGAGCTTTCTGCTGTAGCTTGGTGCTCTGAGCTGTGACTACAGTAGGCTGTTGTCCTTCACTGCGAAACAAAAACCATGGTGTTTATTTAAAAAGGAGGAAGGGGCCTTCCGACTTTACGCAAAGCAGGACTGACAGACACCTGGCCGTGAGCTGGTTACCTCTGGTTGGTCCTGTGAGAGCCTTTCTTCAGGATCAGGGTTGTCAGCAACAGAAGCTCTGGTCTCTGTAGTGAGGTAGAGAGAGGAAGGAACAAGGAGCTTCCCCCAGCTCCCTCTCCTTTGCAGTTGGTGCAGCAGTAGTTCGTTGTTGAAACCAAGGTTAGCTCATGACTCTCGCAGGTCTTCAGGCTGCATTGGTGACTTGTGAACACGCCTTGGGGATGGCGAGGCGGGCTACAGAAGAGCAGGGTCTAGGAAGAAAGCGTGAAACTCCCCAGTGATCCTGGACAGGGCTGAGAAGAGTGAAGGGAGGTGTGTGTTGTGAAGACCAGCTCTTGATGGGTGTGATTTTTTGCCTTGTCAGCACTGAAATGTTCTTATGCAGGTGGGAAGTCTCACCAGGGCTTCGGAGTGTCCTTTCTGGCATGTGGGCTGGCCTGGGAAGGGGCATCACTGCCTCTTCTAGACTCGGGTGTAAGTCCACCATGATGTGGCTCACTGACGTTTTCTTCTGTTGCAGCATCCAACCTTGCCCAGATGTGAAATACGGCAAACGTATCCATGTGCTGCCGATTGATGACACAGTAGAAGGGATCACGGGGAATCTGTTTGAGGTCTATCTCAAGCCGTACTTCCTGGAAGCATACAGACCCATCAGGAAAGGTAATGATGCCTGTTACTGAAGGCAGAATAAAGAGAATTTCTAGAAGCTTGCACAGACCTCCATCTATAGAGTGAGATTTTGATGATGCCGATTTAATTTTTTCCTAATCTTCAGAAGAAAGGGTGATATCTGCTGCTGGCTGGCAGAACAGCTTGATAGTTCTCCTGTGGCTTTTTTGCTACATGAGATGGGAGAGCATTGGGAAAGGCTCAGGTAAAATGCAGAAAAAAAATCTCATTAAACTAAGTTGCTGCCACTTGATGGAGTTGGGGAGTTGTCTGCATATTAATCAGTTGGTTGGGTATACCAGCTGGCACCCTCCCTAGATTCACTTCTTCAAAGTGATTTAATTAATAACTAGGAGAGTGCTTAGGAAACCAAACATGCTTTTAGAGTTGTGCTAGTAGCACTTCTGCTGGAACAAACAGGTCCTAATACAGTATAAACACGAGTTGAAGATGTCCAGCTTCTGTAGCCCAGTTCAGCCAGGAGCCATAGTGCAGTGTGTTATATGTTATTCTGCTTCTGAGCGCAGCCGGTTGCAACTAGTAACAACTAGTTCTAACAACGACAAAATGAATTTTTGTTAAATTAGGTCTTTTTGCCTGTTTTAGAAATGTTAAATTGAAACTGAATGGAAAAGAAATGTGATTCCTTGCCTTTGTGTTTTGTATTTAGGCACAGTATTCTTTTCTATTGTTTGCTGGTTTTTGTTTGCTGTTTGTTACTGGATGAAATTTGAGAACTTTAACGGCCGTGGGTCTGAGCAGTGCTCGGGTGCGTCAGTGCGCTCAGCTCTGGAGTTTAAAATGCCGAGCAGTGTTAAAGTGCCTGTGTAACCCACTTTCTTGGCCGCCTCGGCTGCTGGTGGTACACGGGTCAACGTTTTGCAGATGCCAGTTGCAGCAGTCTACTGAAATGTATGGTTTTACAGGTGACATCTTCTTGGTGCGTGGAGGGATGCGTGCGGTGGAGTTCAAAGTGGTGGAGACAGATCCAAGTCCATACTGCATAGTGGCTCCAGACACAGTGATCCATTGTGAAGGAGAGCCCATCAAGCGAGAGGTGAGCAGAATCCTGCCATGCAGGTCCACTGAATCCCCTCTGTCCAAAATCTGTTTCTGTGACAGTCCTTGAGAGCAGCAGTGTTCGCAGTTCCTGTTCTGACGTTTTGTTTGTTGAATGTAGTGGTTAGAAACTCTGGTTTCAGGAGATGAGCTGCTACTGAAGGTAGCCAGGGAAATGTACTTCCAGTGTCCTTCCTAATATGCCGAGACAGCACCAGTGCGTAGGTTTGCTGATGAGATGCCACTCTTTGGCAGCAGCTGGTTTTGCATCTGCTTCCAGATATCTCATGCTGGATTTAGATGCATCTTTTAATTCCAAATTTCCCTTGATTTATAGCAGGGAGAGCTTACAAAGTTGCTAAATTTCATGTCACCTGAAAAGAAAGCAATTAGTGCTCTTTCAGTGAAAAATTTGAAATCTCATGGTTGGTTTAAATCAAAGATTTAAATGGTTGACTTAAAAAAAATAATATTTTCCCCAGTCCCTTAAGGTATCTAGCCTTGAGCATCCAAAGCCTGAGGCAGCCTGAGTGGCTTGTCTGTCAGGTCTTGGCCACCTTACTATTGCATAGTAGGAGATCTCAGAGAAATGAGCTAAAGTGGTTGTGTACTTCATAAAGTAAGTGCCTGCAAATCAGAGCAAGTGATGATTTGTGGTTAGCTGCCTTCCGAAAAATTCACCGTCATGTGACACTTGTGAGACTGTGTTTGGGCAGTGGATGAGTCCGGTTTGGGTGCTTCAGAACACAGCAGAGACAGGGCAGCAAGTTCAGCCAAGGCCACCAAAATGATGAGCTGGAGGTCGGAATGAATGAGGAGGGGCTGGTTCACGCAGCCTGGAGAAGAGAAGGCAAAGGGGCAGGCTTACTAGCAACTGCCTGATGAGAAGGGGTGGGTGACCAGGCTCTTCTGAGAGCTGTGCTCAACAACAGGGCTACAGGCAGTGGCATAAGCTGGATCAAGGGAAATTCACCGTAGATACTAAGAAAAAAGTTTACCCCAACCCTGGAGCAGGGCCCAGAGAGGGCGGGAATCTCCACACCTGGAGACCTTCAGTATGTGATAGGACCAGACCCTGAGGGACCTGCTTGAGGTCGTAGTTCCTGTTTGTGGGGCTCAGACTGAGCCCCTCTGAGGTTCCAGGCTGCGTTGTTATTTTAGTGTGGCCTAACGTTATGGATAAGTGAGGCCAGTAGAGATTTGGACAGCCAGATGAACGGATGCTGTAGAGCTATGCTGGAAGAGTTGGTTACTGTTGATCTTATCCGTGTGTCTAGATCTTAACATTCTCTGTTAATTTCTGTCAATCCCAAGAGACAACACTACGTCTGAGAATTGTATGATAGCTAGAGTGTGTCACGTAGTTAGAGATAGCACTTACAGTTTAAGGAATGAGTGTATTTTATACTCGGCTTCATTGTCTGTCGCTGTCTTTGTTTGCCGCATCAGAGGGTCATGGGGCTTGTTTTGTGCTAGAGTCCATAGGGAACCTGGTGGGAGACACTCATTCAAGAGGGTGGACTTCCGTGAGGTCTAGGTATGTGCAGGCAGTTCCCTTTGTATGTCTGGGAAGACAGAGCTAAGAAACAATTATAGAAGACCCCAGGAAGACTTGAAAGTGAGAATCTCAAGACAGCAAAGAAACGACTAGGAGCAAAAACCCGGATTCCTGGCTTCTATAGGCTGGGAGGGGTTGTTGAACTATTGTTTTTACTCAGGTGTTTGATACATTTCCTTCCGGATAGGATGAAGAAGAGTCACTGAATGAAGTGGGCTATGATGACATTGGTGGCTGCCGGAAGCAGCTGGCTCAAATCAAGGAGATGGTGGAACTTCCCCTCCGACACCCTGCACTCTTCAAGGCCATAGGAGTGAAGGTAAGTCCCCTTGTGCACCAGGTGGATGAGTGAGCATGCCCTTGCAGATGACTCTTGCTGTCAGAGGTTTATGAGGCATTGGTGGGCGTGGAATAAGTAATTTTTGTTTGTTTTGGTTTTTTTTAATGCTTGTGCTAGGAAAGTATTTTCTTCCATATTCTGGACACAGATTAAAGTACTGGCAACTTGTAAAGCAGAGTGGTGCTTTGAATTGGTGCTGTCAGTTACTGGCAAGGTTTTTGTTTCATGCAAAGTAGTAAGGGTGTTGATAGCAGTGCTGGGATGACAGCTGTTGCATGAGTTGGCATCACAATTTTGGATTGGCTTTATCAAATGCCTACAGTTTCACTGTGAAGCTACTTAGGCATTCATGTACTGGCTCACCACCGAAGTCCCTTGCCTTTGTCTCCAGCCTCCGCGTGGGATTCTGCTGTATGGTCCTCCTGGCACTGGTAAAACACTGATTGCACGAGCAGTGGCCAACGAAACAGGGGCTTTCTTCTTCCTGATCAACGGTAAGTGTTGTGGCTGTTTTGACCCTGGACCTGCTGTGTGCTCATTCATCCGTCTTACGGTAATGAATGGTGTTAACTGGGCTTGTAGAGCCTTCTTGCCTCCCTGGCATCCGTCCTTACCTCTTTCAAGCATGCCTCTGGGAATACTTAAGGCCGTTTGTGTGGAGCATCTGTAGTGGCCCTTCCCACCACATAGCAGGGTGGCTGGAAGACAGCTTTGTGACGCACAGGTTTGGAGTCTGGCTGGCTGAGTGATCGTTTGTGTTGGTGAGAGCAGAGCTGGGAGTGAAGTGCTGAGAGTATTCTAAGTATGCGGGTGCAGGACACTCGTTTCTATTGCTGCCACCATGTTCTGTTCAGAAAAACAGCTGATCTGCTGTGAATTTCTCTTACACCTCAAGTAAAGCACAAGACCTGTTTTGTTTCACGTAGCATTAATTGGGAGGGACTTTCCTGAAGGCTGTGATGAGTACTTTGGGACTTAGCTACAAGTGACAGAACCTCGTATTGATAACTCTCACCTGTAGCAGTTGAGATGGTAACTCGTTTATGTCTAGTAAGGACAAAATCCTGAGTTTCCCTCACTGCTGTTACAGTCAGTACTGGAACAAGTGAATGTTTTTAAGCGCTTAAGGAGTGCTGCTTTTCTTTTCTGATTTCAGTCACGTAGACCCGTGAAAGCGATAGCGAAGGAGTGTATAGCATAGCATAGCAGTGGTCAGCAGCAGGGAAGTGACTTGCTTTGTATCTCAAGACATCAGATGTAAATGGGCTGGTTTTAACCATATGTCGCCCTTGTCATATACTTCCTAAAGTGTGTGGAAGCTGTCACTGCATACTAACGAGCCAGCCGGTCCTTTAGACACTTGTACTTCTATTGCATAATAAAAATAACATTGTCAGAGTTAGTGATGCGTTCTCTGTCTGCTGCTCCCAAGCCTGGAGCTGCAGGCAGTTTTGTAGACAGAGCTGGTGTAAACTGGTGAGTTATTTGTAATGAAACACTCTTAGTACCTCTTTTGGTTTGGTTTAACTCATTTATAGGATCTTAGAGGTAAATGTGTACCCGTGTAATGTAAGCTAAAGGCAGCTTCAGTATCTTAAAAGCTTTTTCCTTTCCCACTGTGATAATTCTTCACCATATAATCTGTTTGCTTCTCTTGAAAGCTAGGACTGGCATTAACAGTGTGCGGTGGCATATTACAGAGAAGCTCCCCAAGTGTGAAATAGGGTAAGGAAAGAGGCAGCTAAAGGTAGCTCATTGACTAGTGCTGTGCTCTGTTAGAGTAAACTGAAAACACTGGAATAATCACAGAATGTTAGGGATTATGGTCGAAAGTAGTTCTGCACGCTGTTCTTGCCTGTTCAGCTGCAAATTTAGTGAACTCGGTTGATAGTGTTTGCTTTGACTTGAGATATAGATTCTCCCATGTGAACGTTGTACTAAAAAAATTGAGCTGTGTGTCTTGGGGCTAGCTGCTTTTCTGCTGGGTGCCACAGTGCAGCTGTTTTTCAGGTCCTGAGATCATGAGCAAGCTGGCTGGTGAGTCTGAGAGCAACCTGAGGAAAGCCTTTGAGGAAGCAGAGAAGAATGCTCCTGCCATCATATTCATTGATGAACTGGATGCCATTGCTCCTAAGAGAGAGAAGGTAAAGAAAGCCTGTAGAAGGTTGAGAAGTATGTCCTTTTGGGTAGCAGCTGGTATGAATCTGTGCATCTGACTACAGGGTAAAGCAGTATTAACTTACTGCCTGATTTCAGTCGGATGTGAGAAGAATGAGATGTTCTTCTCGAGGTTCCTTTCACAGCTTGTGGCTGCCATATCTGTCTGCTCTGGTGCAATACTCGCTCCCGTGCTGGGTCGTAGGGCTGTGGATCTCACCACTGCTTTATTTCTCCATAGACACACGGAGAGGTGGAACGTCGCATAGTGTCTCAGCTGTTGACTCTTATGGATGGACTGAAACAGAGAGCACACGTGATCGTTATGGCAGCTACCAACAGACCTAACAGCATTGACCCAGCACTCAGGCGATTCGGTAACCATGATGGCAGTCTTCTTTCTTTTGTGTCGCATACTATTTTACAGGCTATGTATGCTTCAGGGGCCTTGGAAGGATTTGAGCAGAAATTAGTATTAAACGTCTGCTGTGTGTCACATAAACTATTGACTTGTCTCCAGCTGCTTGTTTGAAATTAATTTGTGGGCTTCCAGCCTTTGGTATCGTTTTCTGTGCTGTGTTAGGTTAGAACTTGGAGAAATAAAAAAATACTTTGAAGTGGAAAAGTGTGCTAACCTCTATTTGGTGAAGCTATCTCAGGACACATAGAAGGAGTAAATGCTTGAGGGGATGTTCATGCCTTGGTTTGCAGAAGGTTCTGATTTCTCTTTCTTTTACTGAAGGTCTGGCAGTTTCTGAGATACAGGTTTTTGAAACTTTGCGTTGTGAATGAATGTCTGGTGTATGAATAATTGGTAAAGTCTGTAATAGCAAACCAGTCAAGTGTGTAGGGGAAAACAGCCTCTCAAATGCGTAGCGAGGCGTTAGAATGCAGAGCTATGGTTAGAGGCAAATGATAGGTGTACGTACCTTAGTTAATACTGCAGTAATACATCCATATTTTCCTGCCTCTCCAGATACTGTGCAGTTCATGTTTTTCACCACTTGGGTACTGCTGTGAAGGTTCCGAGAAATTAAATCTCTCAGTATTTGCAGACTTTTGTGGTGAGGACACAAAGGTAGAAATAAGCGAAAATGTCTCCTGGTGTATTGGTTTGGGGAAGTGTATTCTCCTATAAATGAGGTTCAGAAAAAGTTAATAAACCGCCAGTCCTCTGTGTCTCTTGAGCTCTAGTTAAATCAGTAGTCTCGTTTTCCCTAAATGGCTAAAGCCTGTCTTCCTCTTCTGACCTGACTTTGCTACTGTGCTGACAAATGCTGCAGAGAAGCCCAAAGCTCTGTCATTTTCTGAAATTGTAGGTGTTTGTGGCTTGTCATCGTGTGGTTCAGTTGGAGCAAGGCAGCAACTGCAGCTTCTCTCCTGCACTGAACTAATGAGCAGCTTAACATGTGTCTTGTACTCCTCAGGTCGCTTTGACAGAGAGGTAGATATCGGTATCCCAGATGCCACGGGGCGCCTGGAGATCCTGCAGATCCACACGAAAAATATGAAACTGGCTGATGATGTGGATCTGGAACAGGTGAGTAGCGTGCTATTAGAAAAGTTTGTCTCTGCAGACAGACTTTCCTGATGCTCTATTTTGTGATGGAAGAGTTATTAAGGCTTGATGGCATAGACGTAGTTAGTTGCTCATTTAGGGCAGCCTGAAACTGGGTGAGTGTGCGATTTCTGGGCTTCCTTCTAACTTGTTTACCAGTGGCCAAAAATCCTCACTCACTAATTAAGAATGGCATGGCTAAGTGAAACAGATGCGTATCAGTCCAGCCTGGAAGTGCCTTGCCACTGTCCTCCTGGGTTTGTTTGCTGTGGCATTCTCTTTAAAAGTGAAGTAAGCCTGAAACAGCTCATACAGAGCTGAGTGAGCATTGTGGTGATGCTGAACACCACGTGTAAACTGGATGGTTCCTGTAATCTCTGTCCCGAATGAAGAGCTGCGGTCCTAAGAGTTATCTTTTTGCACACCGTTGAATTCCAGTTGCAGCTTTCAACGCAAGTAGGAGGTGGAACAGCGATCTCTTTGCCTGTTAAATATGTGGTAGTGCTTGTCTTGAATCTGCAGCAAAGCACTGATGCTCCTGTTCTCCAGAGCTTTGTTGCGCTTCCCAGTGAGTGACCAGAGTATGCATTGCCCTTGCAGAGCGCTCACTTGTATCCCCGTGAGTCATAGTCAGTGCTCTGCTTTCAGGTGGCAAACGAGACCCATGGCCATGTTGGTGCTGACTTGGCTGCTCTTTGCTCAGAAGCTGCTCTTCAGGCTATCAGAAAGAAGATGGATCTCATAGACCTGGAAGATGAAACCATTGATGCTGAAGTGATGAACTCGCTGGCTGTGACCATGGATGACTTCAGGGTAATGCAGGAGTGCCTTTCTTCCTTTTGGGTGTTCTGTCTGATTGCTTATTTGAAGCACATGAGCAGAATGTGTTAGAATTCATACAATGCTGTTTCTTCTGATGATAGTGGGCTCTGAGCCAGAGCAACCCTTCTGCTCTTCGGGAGACTGTGGTGGAGGTGCCACAAGTTACCTGGGAAGATATTGGTGGTCTAGAAGATGTAAAGAGAGAACTCCAGGAGCTTGTACAGGTAAGAGTTTCCAAAAAATTTTTGCCTAGTCAGCTTGAAAAATAATTATAGTAGTAAAATCCAGAACTTGTTCAGATTCCCCTTTAGGCTGTGAACAGGGTAATTGCAGAGGTTTTTATGGTGTTTGCTTGTAATGGACTAAAAATACCGTGCTGTTCTGTCTTACTGAACTTGGAGAGGAAGGTGATGGGAAGCAGCATCCGGCTTTCCTTAGCTGAGTCTACAATGTCATCTTGGGTGGGCGTTGTGCTACGTGCAGAAACAGCAGTGGTTCTGCAGCTCCTAAGTGGAGCCAAGCAGTGGTACCACTGCTGAGCATCCTCTTATGTGGTGGCTTTATATGCCAGAAAGTTGATGAAGACTCTCGTAAAGAGAGCCTCTGAAGGGCTTTCCGTCAGCGTTAGCACAGGGACAGTAATGGTGAAGCTGCCTATGAAGGGAGAGGCTGGGACAAAAAGTCTTGAATCGTCTGTGGAAACTTGTGGTGCCTGCATTTGGGATGGTTTAGGTTTGATACATCCCTGCTTTTTGGCGCTGTAGAAACATCCTGTCTGTGAATAAAAGAATCTCATTTTCAGTCTGATTTTCTGATGTTAAAATCATCATCCATTTCTGACCTCATTGCTGAGGATAAACGCTCACATCGGGCCCCTCGCCTGTCTCTGGAGAGCACAGCGCGTAGGTTGGATAATGAGCTGTTCCCTCTTGCTTCTGCAGGGCAGAGTGAAGTTTGGGTTGAGTGTGCTGGAAAACTACCTGAACTGCTACTTAGTTCTTAGAGGTAAACAGGTAAAGGCAGCTTTCCAGTCTTGCCGTGGTGCTTGTCAAACCAGTGCCCAGTAAGAAACTGCAGTGGCACCAAGCAGGCAGGACCTTGTGTTTAACCCACCAGAAATCTCGGGTAGCATTTCTGGTAGGAGGAGAAACAAAACTGATCTAGAGAAAGATGTCCTTTGAAGGTCCCTTCCCACCCAAACCATTCTGTGATTCTAAGGTCAGACCTGCTCCAGCTGATCATGAGATCTTTTGTTTGTTTGTGCTGTTCTCCTTCAGTATCCTGTGGAGCACCCAGACAAGTTCCTCAAATTTGGTATGACCCCATCAAAAGGAGTTCTATTCTACGGACCACCTGGTTGTGGTAAGACACTGCTGGCCAAAGCCATTGCCAACGAATGCCAGGCAAACTTCATTTCCATCAAGGGGCCGGAATTGCTCACCATGTGGTTTGGCGAGTCTGAAGCCAATGTGCGCGAGATCTTTGACAAGGTAGGTGTTTCTTCTAGTCCCTGTGCTACGTTTGTGCTGAGGTGCCCTTAGAACTTTGTCTCCACTGCATCTGTCTTACTGGCCTGGTTCTTGTCTTTTGTGATATCTCCACTTGCACCGAGAGCAGGGTCTCCTTTCCTGATGTCAGCCAATTAATCCTCTTCAGCGAAATAGCTGTTTAAACTGTTTTCTCTGGCTGCGGTTTGCATCTGCTGTGACAGGATGATAAATGTCCCAGTGCCTGAGCAGTGAGGCTGGCGTTAGGATAGCATGGATGTCCTCCATCTCCCTGAAAACTTACTTCGACATCTCATTAGCTATGTATACTGCAGGGCAAGAAGTCACACAGATTTTCAAAATACCCTGTGGGTTCTTGTCCTGCGATATACGTGGCTTAGAAAGGAGCTCGCTCCTGCTGCTCAGTTGCCCTGTAGATGGTGTCGCCTCCTGTTCCAGAAAATATCACATTGATTATCCTGGAAATCCTCACTGTCGTGGTCAGGGAAAGTGCTGATAGAACAAAATTGGAAGGAGAGTAAGAGAGAAAAATGTAGGTTGGGAGGAAACCTCAGAGGCCATCTAGTCCAGCTGCTTGGCCAGAGCAGGGAGATAACTTGGAAATTCGATCAGGTAGCTCAGCGCTTTGTATTCTGAACATACGCCATGAGTGGAGAATCCGTGACCTCTCTGGGCCGGCATGCTAGTGTTTGAGCTCTCTCATTGTGAAGAATTTTTTTCCTTATTTCTACCTGGAATTTTCTTTGCAGCCATTTGTGCCTGTGGTCTTTCATCCTTTCACTGCACCCTTTGAAGAGAGATCTGGCTTCCATTTCCCTGTAACTACCCATTAGGTAGCTGAAGACAGCAATTGAATTTTCTCTCTTCCATGTGATATATCTTACCTCCTGATACTTGAGTGCCTAAATAACCAATTGACGTCCCCAGGTCATGCAGGGAGAGTTCTAATCCAGGCAAACTGGCTCAGCTTTCCCTCTCAGCATTGGAGTTACCACCCTTCTGCCTGGTTAACAAAGCTCCCAGCTTTGGGGAAATTCAGCTGCTTGTTCAGGAGAATTTAGTTGAGGGTTTGTGTGGCAGAAGACTGTTTTGGAGCAGGTCCTCCATACACTCCTTGCAGCAGCTGTTCTCTGGTCCTCCTCTGAGCTGCTTTAGTGGTAGGGTGAGCTCAGTGTGCTCCTCACCAGGTGGTATTAACATGGACTGATTGTTCCCATTTGCTTTTTGTAGGCTCGCCAAGCAGCCCCTTGTGTGCTCTTCTTTGATGAGCTGGACTCCATCGCAAAGGCTCGAGGTGGGAACATCGGTGATGGCGGTGGTGCTGCAGACCGCGTCATCAACCAGATCCTGACAGAGATGGACGGAATGTCCACCAAGAAGAACGTCTTCATCATCGGTGCCACCAACAGGCCAGACATCATTGACCCAGCCATCTTGCGCCCCGGCCGCCTGGATCAGCTCATCTACATCCCCCTGCCTGACGAGAAGTCCCGGGTTGCTATTCTTAAGGCAAACCTGAGGAAATCACCAGTTGCCAAGGTAGGATCTGCACCCTGCCTGTGTCTGACTTGGGTTTGCTGTGTGCCACACGTGCTCCTCACACACTGAGGACAGTGCAGAGGGCTGGTGACTGCTCCCTGTGTATGGAGCTGGGAAACCTTCAGTCCCTGAAGGATGGAAATGAAGAGGGCTCTGAGGCTAGGTACCAACAAGGCTGGTGTCAGTGTGTAAGCACAGGTCTGTGTCGCATAGTGGAGTTCTTCCCACAGTGTGGCAACAGGAAAGCCTGTTATGGCACGATGGAAAAGATTGTTGTGCTCTGAAAGAGAAGTAAACGTAGAACATGGGGGTGGGAGATGGAAATTGAGGAAGAACCATGGCAGTTAATTATTGGTGAACTCCATCATAGGCAAGAGCTATGTCCCTTGCCGGAGGAGCAGACAGTAATGCAACTGTAGTTAATCAGAGAAAAGCAGATGTCAAGTGAGAGCTCAAGCTTTTTTGATGCCAAGCTTAGCTTTTTAGGTACTGTTAGGGAGGAAAGCTTCAAAGGAGGTTGCAGTACGACGCCCTCAGTTGAGGGAAAGGAAGAGAATGTCAGGTTGTCTTGGTGTGCCCATGTCCCATGTCCATTTCTAGTCTGGCAGTGTTTCATTTGACTCCTAGTGCTGAGACCTGAGAAATCATCCTACATCCACAGGTGCAAAGGCATTTACAGCTGCTTCACAGCTTCTTGCTGGGTGCATGGGGAGCATGGCCTGCCTTCGTGTGTGGTTAACTTTTCCCAAAAACAAGAACCTTAACAGCTAATCTTTCCAAAACTGGCCACGGTTAAGGCAGCACCTTGTTACCATGTGATTTGAAGACACCTGTCTGTCACCTGAGGATGTAAGGTTTTAACAAGAGGCCTCTCTTGCCTTTTTTTTTTTTTTTTTTTTTTTTTTTTTTCTGTTCTTTTGGTGAAAATCAGCAGCTCAGTAATGGAGGGTGACCTGTTAATCTCCCACTGGGAGAAAGGTAAGGAAAACTCAGATATTATCCATTCACGAGTCCATTGAGAGCGAGATCAGGCGAGAACGTGAGAGGCAGACCAACCCTTCCGCCATGGTGAGTGGGGCACTCGGCTTTCCCCGCTCCCGTGGGTGAGGTGCCATGTGTTCCTCTCTGTAATCCTGAGGTGGAGAGAGGCAGGCTCTCACACATGGCCTGGAGCTGGAGCATCCTGGCCTGGAGGGAGGCTGGGGGCACTTGTCGGGCTGCAGAGCTCGGGTGTGCAGCTAACCTGGGCCCTCTGTCCTGCTGCAGGAAGTGGAGGAGGACGACCCGGTTCCTGAGATACGCAGGGATCACTTTGAGGAGGCCATGCGCTTTGCTCGCCGCTCTGTCAGTGACAACGACATCAGGAAATACGAGATGTTTGCACAGACTCTACAGCAGAGCCGTGGCTTTGGCAGCTTCAGGTAACCATGGGGGAGGGCAGCCTGGTTCAGCTGGCCCCAGAGCAGAGCACCAGGGCAGCTTTCTGCTGGATTCTGGGTAACAAACCCCTCTTCCACCACAGTTTCCCATTATCCCCTGTGTGTACGGCAGCTGGTACACAACGTGGTGGGTGTAGGCTGTGCTGCAGGTTGGCTGTAGCTCCTTTGTCAGCGCTCCTGAAGTCCATCGACCCTTTGGCGTTTGACACAAGTGACATCCAGCAGATGTGTGAGCCTTTTGCGTGACCATGAGGCTTCATCCTGTTTCTCCTGCCTGTCCTACTTTGAGCGAGCAGGGTGTTGGTGTGGAGGGAGGGAATGGGGCTGAGCTGTGAGGAGGCTTTTCAACAGCATCTCTTCTCTCTCCTTGTGTACTGCTGCACGCAGGTTCCCGTCAGGTAACCAGGGCGGCGCCGGTCCAAGCCAAGGCACAGGAGGCGGCAGTGGGGGCAACGTGTACAGTGAAGACAACGACGACGATCTCTACGGTTAACTCGCTGTCCTCCGTGGACCAAACTCCCATGTCAGGCCACGTTGTACAGGGAAAAACCTGATGTTCAGTGAACTCTCGGCTTCTTCATTCCTCAGTCAGAACAGTGTAGCTGCACGTCAGACTTTGTACAGGGAATGTTTTCTGCAAACACAGATCCAGACCGTTGTTCAGGTGGGAGGCACAGTGAATTGACAAGGAGGGGAACCGACTTAATTTCTGAGAAATTTCTGTTCTAGTTTATGTGGCAGAATCAGCAGCTTTAGCAAAGGGTACAACGCTAGCCTGTATTAATTAAAAAAAACAACCACAAAAGTAATAAAAAAAAAAAAAATCCACAAAATTCTAACCAGGCCCCGGCAGTTCCTTTGTGTGGTGCTGGTGTGGTCTGAAAACCTGTGTCTCAGGGTGCTGTCCCAGCACCCCTCGCTCTGGTGGAGTCCATCTGTACGTGTGCTTCCCTGCTGCGTGCAGGGGTTGCTCTTCACGCTTAACACCTCTTAGCTCATGTTAACGGAAGAAGTTGGTTTGGCAGTGTCTCTCCCCGGCCCTGCCAAGTAAGAGAGCCTGGCAGCAGGTATCTGGTGTTTCTTCTCCGGTGCTGGCCATGAGCTGTCAGATCTCCTGCTGCTTTGACTCCTCAGCAGCAAGGACTTCTCCAGCAACCCTTGTCAGCCCTGCCTGAAGGCAGGCACAAGGGAGCCCTTCAGCTGTCTCTGGAGCTTATGCTTAACCACTGTGGTTAGGGAAGAGGGGACACATTCCATGTGTCCTTGGGTTTCTGACAACAGCCTTGTCTCTGGTGCCAGCCTGCCCCATGTTGTGCCCCATACTCAGTAGTCGGGTTCTGATCATGGTTCTTGTCCTCGCTTTCCACGTCTTCTATCTGCCTGCCTTGCTCCTGGGTTTGTTTTACCGTCTCTGAACTGAAGAATGTGTTACTCCTGAGCTGCTTCGTGGTATGTATGAGAGAAGCCCTGGGACAGCTCCTATGGTGCCCACCAGAGCTGGGCAGGAGGCTGGAAACGGCCCAGCCCTGAGCTCCGGGGGAGTGAGCCTGTTCAAGACGACGGCTGTAGGAGGCACAGGGCAGCTGTGTGCTGCCAGCTTTCAGGGGGGTCCAGGAGCTGAGGGTTTCTGCAGAGGGTTAAGTACAGATTGTGTGGCAGAAGGCTGCCCAGGCTTTTGGGGCTGAGTCACAATGGAGAGGGCAACCTACCCCCTGCACGGCAGAAGCTGTGTGGTTTCTGGGTTCTGCAAGTTTCTGCCCCAAAGCCTGACAGATCTTGGAGGGCTCCATGAAACCAGCTGGATTTACATTCAAGGGAAGAAAGGAGTCTCAAAATGGCAGGAGGACGGACTGCCCATGAGAGGGGGCTTGTGCATAGCAGTGGGGAGAAACACACTGAAATTGGGAACACTGCATTTAAATAGCACAAGCTCCTGCTGGGGTAGGAGGCCATGGAGGCCCCTGGGGAGCGGGGGCAGCTCAGGTGCTCTGTCCTACTTGAGATCTCTCCACCGGCACTGCTCCTGCCCTGTCCTTATACCACCTCTGCTGAAGAAAACAGTGCTGCTCTGCTCGCTCCTGCCAGGGGGACGCTGGCCATCGCCGCCTCTGTTGGTAGTGGGGTTGAGGACAGGAGGGCTGGTGTTTCTTCTGCCTCTTTTTTGGATTAACTGGTACCTGGAAACTTCACTCCAGTGCTGCTTCCCTGCCTGTGCCCCCCGCTGCTCTGCAGGGATGCAGACACTGGCTTTACTTTCTCACCCTGCTGCTTCCCCAATGCCAGCCTGAGAGAGGTGACTCCAGCCAGGATGGGGAACCAGCAATCAGCTGCTTTCAACCTGGGAAGGGGAAAGGGCTGCTCTGCACCCGCTCCAGGAGCTCTCCAGGACTCTTCCCAAAAGCTTTCCCCAGCTCTGGCAGGGGATGGGGTTGTCTT